CACGCACGCACGCACGCACGCACGACGCGCCCACACACACACACACACACACACACACACACACCGGCGCACAGAACATGCATGCTTGGGTTCTGCATGTGGAGGACTTTCTGCACTGACAGAAGAGAGCTACAAAAAGGCCTATGCCGCATTCTTGTTCCTCTTGCATCTTCGAACCCGCGACATGACCAAGCCATTCTTGGAAGTGAGCCTGACGCAGCAGATGAGGGGTCGAAATTTGAGCCAGTGGACCTTCAACGACAGGGTAATGCTGGCAGTCCTTAGCACCGACTTCCTCAAGAAGCAGATAGGGAAGGGTCGGGACGCGGATTATTTTCGCTGCCTGGCAAACCTGTTGGAGGCGGGCTGTGGGGTGACTCTGAAGGCATACATCTGCAGGTTGTTCATGGAGATGAAAGCATCGCGGGAAGCAGATACAAAGAAGGATGACGACTCCTCTGCAAACCTCATCGTTGTTCCTGCGATGCTCTCCTTGCTCAGGACGGGGGGAAGTTTCCTCGCCACGTATGCTTCCGCGGCCTTGGTAAATTTGAGCAGTGGGAACCAGGCAGTGAAGATGCTCCTCATGGGCCAGGGGATGGCGAAGCTGGCAGTGCAGAACATGCAAGCCAAGGAAGATGACCTCAGCTATTACACCTTGATGCTAATGGTGAATTTGACGAAGGAGCCTCATAATCGCAGCGTCATCGCTTCAGCAGGTCTTATACCGATCCTCTACGACATAATGACTTCTTCGTATGCGCAGGTCCGGCCTACCGGCAAAAAGGCACAAAGAATGAGTGCAGCGGCCTTGGGAAGCATCGCCAAGGAAAGACTGCTCACTCAAACCTGTATTGTCATCGGCCAATTCTGCAACGACGACCGCTTCCGGGAGCAGTTCATCGCCTCTTGTTTGCACTTGCCTTGCTGTGATTGAAGCGAACCGACCGGGTGTAGGCGACGCTTCTTTATTGGAAGCCCTGCGGCCGTTGGAGGATGACTCAGCGTGCTCCACCCACATACTCATATCTGCACAGACCTGCACGCAGGCAGAATAACAGGCTCGCAACGAGAGACCCAACCAGCTGGACACACATTCGAGCAGCGGCCGTAACAACTATTCTTGCTCCAGGTGAACATACTGTCAGCTCGGATGTTGTGTCGCTCTCTTCGGTTGGTTCTTGTCACAGAAGGTTCAAGCCGAAAAGTTGAAGGAACAGACACAGATCTAGAAACATGCGGAGTGCAGCTACAGCTACGCTTGCATCTGCCCCTCTGCTCAGGACATCTACCCCCACACTGCGAAGTGCTTGATGTACATCTTCAACACTGTCCGGATGGGGTGCACGCTGTGCGGCAAGGTAATGTTTGCTCTGAAGCAGCTGTGTGCGAGTCGCAACGACCAAAAGCACTATGTCGGGACACGGGCGATACCTCACCTAATCGAGGGCTTGAAAGACCACGATACAGACATGAACTTGGAATTCGTCTACCAGTCCTTACTGCTGCTCATCATGCTCTCAGGGCTCCCAACAAATTGCGAGCTTATGTACAAAGAGGGTTTGGTGCCTGTCTTGGAACAGCTCAGCAGCCACCCTTCTGCAAAACGCAGCGATGGCTTTCATGCGCGTGTTTCCATTCTTCTCCATAGCATGAGCGACATAGCGGCTGCCGACAACCCTTGATGAGGAAAAGTCTCGTCGAGGCTGTGCAGCTCCCGGAAGGCAGCACTTGCCTTGTTAATGCCTTGTACAGAAAACATCCGTTGAGGAGAGCCTGATTGCCTCGCTGACTCCTATAGGGTCCGCCAGAGTGACGAAGCGGGAAACAAATGCTCTGATGACCGTCTCCTAACCCAAGACTATCCACTTTGTGTGGAGGCAGTGTGCCATCCTAAGTGTTCATGGAACGCGCGACTTCCTGGAATTGAGTGTCAAAGCCAAGCAGGAGCTGCAAAGCTGGTTCCTCCGCCGCTGGGCGCGGAGCTCACAGCATTATTGTGGGTTTCCTGGATGGGCTCATTCAGGGCAGGCATTTTGCCTATCGATGCTGTCTGCCTGCCAGGCAGCGAGGAAAGCTCAGCTGAAATGTGTATCGGTTGGGTGCTTCCAGGATTCCGCAGGAACGACCCAAGACATCTGGTTATCCCAGAATTTTGCCACTGCATTTTCGTCCCAGGTTTGGACTGCGCTGCAGACTGATGCCAGGCACCTTTGGCAGCTTGCAGCGGAATCCATCAAGGCCTTTGCCGTTGTCGCACGTTCTAAAAGCCCTTAGCGTCTTGGACGTTTGGGTCGGTACCCACCACCGGCCAGACAAGGAAACGGCAAGAGGCAATCTTCGTGTGCTTAACATGTACCATCTGGGGTATAGAGCCATGCCACGCAGTGGGAGACTGGCTGTTTGCAGTGACCACTGTACTCCCGCCGCCCGCCGGGCACACAGAGCGAGATAAATTTAGTAGCTGAACAAGCAACCGAGGCCAGCGGCTAGAGTCGGACTAGGGCACAACTAGTATCATTCGGCAGTGGATCGTTTGTGTTTCCGTGCTCTAGCTGCATGTATTCGGCCGATGGCCGAGCTGCTTGGGCCCCTGGCTGTGCTTGGCGGGTCGTCGCCCTCAGAGGTGAGGGATGGCCTCGTGCAACTGCTCGCTGCCCTGAAAAGGGCAAGGAAAGAGGATGTCCTGGAAGGATCCGTTTCGGAGCATGTTGCAGCTGCCATGGAGAACCAGTTGTCTAGCCCAGAAGTGCAGCGTTGGGCAGCAGCCGTCTTTCAAGAGTTGTTCCAAAGGTTTGAACAGGTTGGCCAGAAAGATGTCGAGCTGCTGCTCCGAGCAGCTGGTGTACATGCAAAGGTGGTGGATGTTCAGCGCTGGTGTTTTTCTGCGCTTCTCTGTGCTCTCGAAGTTTCAGGAACGGACGAGTTTTCTGACAGCACAGTAATTGCCTGCACTTTGTTACAGGAGGGTGTGCTGGGCTTGCTCGCCGCTGCTTTCCAGGACCACCAGTCGCCCTCGTTGATGGAACGAGTGGCTTCCTTGTTGGCAGCATTGGTACTCGAAGGGGGAGATGATGCCGCCGATGAGGCCACGAGGACCGGTTGCTTGACTGCTGCCCTGGCCACATTGAAGATCACGGTGGGAAACACGACAGACACGCTGGAAGAAACGTCTGCACTGGTGGCAGACGTACCCGTTCAAGTTGCATGCTTGCGTGTTCTCTGGGCTGTCTGTGAGTCAAACGGTGAGCTGGGTGCGACGGAGATTGCGGCCGAAGATGGCTTGGACATCATCGTATCGATCTTGCAGCAGAGCGGACAGGCCTCGGACGTGTGTAAGTGGGGCGCCAGCGTGTTTCAGGCACTTTTTGCGCATGGAGGAGAGCTCGTCGTTGAGGCAGCAGTGCAGTCGGAAGTGGCAGAAGCCCTGGTCATGGTCTTGGCACACAGCTTAAACGACCTTGAGATCGTTGAGAGATGTGCAGCTGCCCTGGCAACCATGTCGGGACATAGTGACGAGGCCGGACTCGCAGTGGTGGAAGCGGGAGGTCTTGGTGCTGTTGAGGAGGCGGTTGAACGTCACGGCCATGAGGGGGATCTCTTTGATTGGTACCTCGCGCTCCGGCAGAGCATCGAGAGCCACGCGCGTGCCGAAAGTCCCAACGGCCAAAATGCTGATTCAGGCCCAGGCAGCCCGGCTCCGGAAGTGGAGATCGAGTTTTGAAGCATGCGAGCTGACTCTTGCTTTGTTTGCGATCCGAAGTTTGCCTAAAGTGGCAGGCACCAGGACGTCATTGATCCATACAAATCATGCTGTGCTGGTCAGTGCGGCTGCACATCTTGCTTGAGCAGCAGCAGTGTGATACGAGAGGTCCGCAAGAGTGCCCCGCCGCTTCCGCTGGACCTTCCTGGCTTGAAGCCACGTCCCGAGATGGCGACGGGAAAGAAATGTTGGTGTTTCCTCTTGGAATGTGTTGGCTTGGCTGTAGCTCGTGAGGCCGGACGCGATGGAGCTGCCCTGGTGGTTTCCTGATTCACATCTCAGGGTTGGCCTTCTTCCGAAGCCCGGGGCCCCAGGATGAGACGACAATGGGAGCCCGGACTGTTCGGAAGATTGCATCGGCTTGCTACGGAAACGTTTGGAAGCACTTTGCGAGATGAGTTGACTGTGACACTGCTGTGACTGTCGAGCGGAGCCGAGAGGGTTGGAGCCGCAGCTTTGGCTCCTACCGGGCCTACCGCCCTGTACGCGTCCTTCACCGAGATGCGATTGTAGATGGCTCTGCCATGACCCGTCCCCAACTGAGCTGCAATGTTGCCGTGCCATGAAATTCTAGATTGGCACAGCCGCCGAATGAGTCTGGAGCTGAGGTGCATGATCGGGCTCCCAGGTGAGATCCCCGAATGGGGATCCGGGGAGGCCTCGCCCAGCAGCTCTCATGGATCGCCTTCGGAGGGCGATCCGGCACTCAATGTAGATCGATTAATACACAAATGGTGCCACAGGCCGGCGCGTATTCAGAATTGCTGCCGGGTGTCATCTTATAGGTCGGAGGGGTTGGGGTTAGTCGTCATGAGAGTCACTCGAGTGGTCCTAGCAGTCCTAGCAGCAAACAAGCATGCCCGCTCCCCCCAGCGACCTGCTCACGTTATCTGTCATGGCAGGCAACTTAGCGATCTGCTGAGCAAGCTTTCCCTTGAGCCCGAGGGGGCACCTTTTCTGGTGCCGGTCAGCTGGCAGGAACTGGGCCTGAATGATTACCCAGAAATTGTTGAGACACCCATGGATCTCCACACCATTAGCAAGCGCCTCAACATGGGACATTACGATGATGTGGATGGCCTGATCGATCCTGAGCTGATGTTCAAGGACGTTTCCCTTTGTTGGGACAACTGCATGAAATATTTTGAAAATGACGCCGAAGTGGAAGCGGTGCAGATGGCTCTGGCCATGTCATCTGCAGCCGCGATCTTGGAAGGAGAGTTTTGGGCTGATCTTTTGGCATTCGAAGAATCCCTTGAGAAGAGCCCGTTCAAGGCCCGGCTCGCCATAGCTGCTGCCATTATGGGAGATAATGTCAAGAAAGTAGCTAAGCGGAGCCGGCGCAAGACCACGGTCCTTGCCAATGACATGGTCAAGTATGCGGCAGACTGGTGGCAAGGAAGCCGCCATGAGTCACCCTTCTGGAGCTCGCATCACCGCGATCACTTGATCGGTCGGGCATGGCCATCGCGGTTCAAGCGCGCCATCGCTGTTGTTCGGGAGACCGTTCGCAGAGTTCCTTTGCCTCTCGACAATTCTGCATAGCCGTGGCTGCTATCTAGGAATCTAGGCTTGTGTTTTTTGACATCTGACCGTGCCTCGAAGACACCAAAGTTTTTCTGCACAAGCTTCTGTTTGCCGCTCTGGCCCAGGTCCCTCCTCAGCTCCGAGCAGGCCATTCAAACGTTCCTCAAGCCATTAGCAGAGTCAATTTTGCGAACAGCGTCGTCCTTGTCCATGCCATCAGGCCATCGGGGTTTTGCCCAGAATTCGAGTTAAAGGCAGCATGCAAGCGGGCTTGGTGATCCATGCATGCCCATTTTATGCGTTTCAGTGAGGAGTTCGCATTGTCCACGACACCATTGCCGACGTCCGCGGCGAGTGGATCCTGCCAGAGTCCGTTGAGCCACGCGCTCATGTGGAGCAGGTTCTCGTGTGGGCTCACGGTGGTGGTTTCGTGCTTTGCTCCCCGGCCACACACCGCTTTTTCCTTGCGAAGATCGTCGTGCACACAGGCGTGCCGACTTTTTGCGTCAACTTCCGTCAGCCTCCAAGCCACCCTTTTCCGGTGCCGAAAAACGATGTCATCCAGGCATACAAGGGCATCCTAAAGAGCGGCATTGCAGATGTCATCTTCCTTGGTGGCGACAGTGCCGGAGGAAACCTTGTTCTCTCGCTTACACAGGAGCTGGCACAAGATGCAGAGAGTATTGAGAACTCTTTGCCGCTACCGGAGGGCTTGATTCTACTATCTCCTTGGGTGGACTTGTCCGACACAACCGAGGAGTCTTGGCAGAAATATGCAGATGTGGACTACATCCCGGCGAAGCAGGCCGAGGTTGTAGCAGGGATTTATGCCAAAGGCATCCCGCTTGAAGATGTTCGGGTTTCACCAGGTCGTTGCAAACGTTGGCCCACGTCGTTTCCAAGGACTTTATTGGATTACGGTGGTTGTGAGGTTTTCCGGTCGCAGATTGAGCGGCTGGCCAGCCACATGAAGAGACATGGAATTGAGCTGGATGCCTCAGTAGAGCACGGCATGGTTCATTGCTATCCTCAACTCGAGCACCTTTGGGGTCCTGATCCAGGTGGACCTTTTGACAAGTATTTCCAACGTGTTTCGACCTTCATGGCGATGAAATATTTTTGATTGTAGTTGCCTGCTATGTGTACATATGCGTTCGATTCAGCGAGGCTGCGGCGAAAAACGATGGCCAGTCAAAACGAGTCAAGTGCTCTTGCTTATGCGGCACATCGCGGCACGTAGAGTTCAGAGATCCTGCGTTTTTTGTCAGATCAGAGATTTGCTTCCGTGTCGGGGTTTGCGAAACGTCCCTGCTTCAAAGCAGGTTCAGGGTGTTACTGTGATGGGGTCGTCAGCTCGATGCTGCCTGGATCACCATCCTCAGATGGCCAAGCAACGTGAAGGACCCAAGAGGTTCTGCCCCTTAGTTTTCGCTAGCTTCACTCTCAGTTCTTTGAACTTCCCAACCTCTAGAGACTAGACTTAACATTGTCGAGGTCCAGTAGCGGCACATGCCCGGTGGTCCCGGTGTTGTCGTGTCTGGAGGCTTCGGCGCCAACTGCAGTCGCTGATTGCAGGGACACCGACTCAGAGGTCCCTGCCGGAAAAGGTGGGCAAAGAATTTGTCTCACAAGAGCTCACTTCTTTGAGCTTGTGATGGCCGACACGTGAAGCATGCCCATGTGTTAGAAGGCCTGGAAGGCATTTCAGCAAAGGAAGACGATGCTGTGCACTTCTGTCGACTTCAGACAGATTGCGAAACTAACTGATGTCCAGCATTAAGCGTGTCAATTGCCATCAGCCATGCATGTCCGAGGCCCGATGTAGTCGTGCCAACTGATGCAGATTTGCTGGAGCTTCAGCATCGACCGGCCTATAGGGATGTCCGGTGAGTGTGCTGGTTAAAGCTTTGACGGCAACGCTACAGCTTGAAGGAACGCATGGGAGCGCATTTGACGCTGCAGGCTCTGGTTGCGTCCTGCTTCGGCACAGCTTGGCCTCGCGCAGGTGAGTGGAGACTTAATCGTCTCGGGCCAGGGTTGAATGCACAGTGTCATTGAGTGGGGCTCATTATTAGGAGTAATTCGACAGTCTTGCACGATTTGTCGTTGAAGTTCCGGCAAGTAATTAGACTCTGAAACCCAGCCAGTGGTTGGTGGCGCTAGCTCACATAGCTGCTGATATCCATTGATCTGCGCATTCCGAGCAACATAAATGGCTTCAATATGGCGATGTTTCCACCGGGCCAGGCATTGTGGAGAGACGTTCGACAGCAGCTTCTCTCTTCGGAGAGGGTGCGGCCGTTGGTTTGGAAAGGATGCCCCCGGTTTGCTGGGTCGGAAAACTCGTCTGCTTGTTTTGCTCTTCTGCTAGTAAGAGGAGTCAGCGACGAGTCTGAGATGAGTTGCGGGCTGTTTCGTGAACAGGCGTTACGCCAAGGCGTTGCAGAGTTGCCGGGCACTAAGTGGCTGACGCTTTGCTGGGCTCGCGTGTCGCCGGGATGAGCATCTCCAGGTCGACAATGGCAGAGGCGGGAGTGGGCCATGGGCCATGCTGGTTTTTTGCTTTAACCTTCGAGTTGGCAGCGCCGTGGCCAGAGCCGTGGCCGGCAGGCAGCAAGAGCTTTGCTCAGCGCCGCCGCTCTCTCCCTGGCAGTGTCACCAAGCGACGGTGAGGCCGGCACTGCACATGCTATGCCAGGGACCGACCAGGCCCTTGTCATGCATGACGAACTGGTACAAGAGAAACAGAGGAGCCCCATGGCCCAACGGCAACACAAGCGTCAAAGCCTTGTGGAAAGTTCGCAGGCAGCTCTGCGAGCTTTGGCGCGGCTTTGTGCAGGCATCGCAAATTGGAATCTCCGTTGGAGGTACGACTGTCGTTTTCCATCACACCAAAAGGCCCCAAGTACCCCGTACACTCGAGTTTCAGCACCATCCACGGACCGAATCCTGAGCTTTCCGTCGTGCACTCTGCCCCCTGCACAGCCTGTACACCGATTCCCTTTCTGCGGCTACTTTTGCTGCGACTGCTTGTGCCTGGTTGCTGCAGTTATGACATACTCAAGGACATTGCGATGATCTTGCCCCACAGCTGCAGGATGCTGCGGCCCCAATCACAAGTGCCCGAGCCCATGTGTGTCACTGGAGCTGAGAAGCCGAATGCGCACTTGAGGCGATGCCTGTTCTGCTGTGGCTGGTGAAAGACCCAGTTCCGATCCTCGAACTCTGACACCCACACCTTTACGTTTGTGCATTGCAACTCGTGGCTCAGGCGGATGTGACAGGAGCTACTGGCAGGTGTGCGGGCAGAGCGCAGCGTGAGCAATATGGGCTTGCACACTAGGTCTCTTGTGGTATGTGTGTTGAATGTTGGCCACGCACCATATATGCGACTCTTGTACTCCGTCGCTCACAGCATCAGAGAGAGTAGCTTGCATAGTTCCACAGACAGAAAATACATCGGTTTGGACAAAGCGGCAATCAGCCGCCAGAATGTGCTTGCTGAAATGTTGATCTAGCAGCCAGCAGAAACGCTGTGCTTTAGGCCATCTGCAATCGCCAGCCTTCACCCTTTCATGCTGTGCAAAGGGTCGGGCCCGGAACCGCCAAAAGTGTGCCATGAGCTCCGGTGCTTTGGGCCAGGGCCGCAGGGCCTGGGGCCTCCGTGGCCGGCATGTCGAGGGAGCCTGGTGACAGGGAAGTGGAGCTCTATGAGCAGCTCCTTTCTCGCGGCCCGCCTCATATTTTCGATTCAGAACGAAGACGCCAAAACATGCCAAAACGAGAGAAAGACAAACCAGAAAGAGAGAGGAGGTCGAAGATTGTTAGTGCCTCCATGTGCAAGATTCTTGCTCGCAGATCTTGCTCGAATGTTGCTGGCATCGTGCGCGCGTGTGGAGCGAAGAGATGCATCGACCACTGAAAATGTGCGTCACGGTGACTAAGTGACAAAGATGGCCGTCCTCTCGGGATGAGTTTCTAAGGTAGTGGAGGTACAGTAGTTCAGTTCAGCAAAGGCAATACTTTCTGACAGGATTTAGCATGCTTGGCTTGCTGTTGCTAATCTTGCCAACCAACGGCGGAGAATTTTTTGAATCGTGCAGCTGGAAACACGGACACACTGTCTAGCCCTCGCACGGCCCTCAGTTCAGCAACAACTGGTAATGTTACGATCCGTTTAATAAACCCTCCCCCGCCCCGAGGTTGTTTTGCGCGGGGGTGTCTTGGGGAAGGGTTTGGGTGGGGGGGGGGGGGGGGGGGGGGGGGGG